CAACTGAACACTCTTTTCAAGACAAAAAGTTCCTGCTATTGAACCATCCCATTTACTTTTAATCTCGTTTATTTTTGTACATAATTGATTACAAGGGCTTGTTACAACGATTATAATTTCAATTGTGCAAAACTCAAGAAAGTGTCAAAAAAAAAGATGCTGTATGAAATAAATTCGATTTGGAGGACTAAAGTACCAAAGCAAAATCATATTAATATGAGATGGCAGAATAATGAGACGAGGATGCGACTCATTTGAGGCTTCCAATCCGACACCAACTTTGAAAAGGACTGAAACTCAAAGATTAAAAATAAAAATTTAAGAAGAAAAATTACCTAAATCAATCACATCACTCTTTCTGAAATTTACTATTATTATTAAGAAGTGCTTTTTTTTGAATGATAAAAGTAAGATTTGTTAAGCTTGTCAAATATTTTGATAAAATAAGAAAATCCTGCCGTGTAAACAATATAAATAAAGGTTATAGTAAAAACCGAAGGGAAGCCCAGAAAATGAAAAATATATAAAAAATTCTAGTCAAATCTATTTTTCTGAGCGTTTTTTACTCGTCTACTAAAAATGAAAAAATGTGAATTGTTTAAATTGATCTTTGCAATCGATGAGTTTTAGGCCAGATATTTACAATAAGAATGGTGCTGGAACATTGCCTCAAATAGCAGCAACTCACCGTCACTTGCTTTATTGATTTTGTAGCTATCTCCGACTCGGTTGATAGAGCAACGTTCTGGAAAGTGATGGAATTTGACGGTATCCTAGAGAAAGTCGTTCGGCGCATAAAGGCATTTTATCATCATACCCTGGCACAGGACTGTATATACGAGGAATAGATAGACTCCTCTGAAATAAAAACTCATTGCTGCATCCTACATTATTTCACTCTCTGCGATAGATTGAATAATGAACATCCCTTCTCAGCATTCAAGAGGTGTATGAATCAGTGCAAGGCATCACACATTTTGAATATGTTGATAATGTACTCTTTTTTTGCTGAAAGAATTATAATGAAATGCAAATAATGTTAAGCAACCAACAATTGCAGATAGAACTGCACTCAAAATCATATAAATAGAATAAAGATATTTTCGTCTCAATAAATGCTAGCCGACTTTAAATATCTCGCATCCACTCTAATGTCAAATGGCCATGCAAAGGATGAAATTGTAACCCAAACAGCTAAAAAAGTTTTTCCTCGATTGACGAAATCTTTATGAAACAGTCACGAAATCACCATAAAGATCACATCCAGCTAAAATTGCAGTTCGTTCGATCTTGCTGCATGGTTGCGAAACATAACTAATGAGACAACTGGAAAATATTAAGTAGATTTTTAAAATGTAATTTGCCACAAATTACATTTACAATTGTTTTACAGTTGGTACAAGTTAGACTGGAAAAGCTAAGCCAGGACAGGATAAGCTGGAAAAAGAAAAGAACGTTGCAACTTCTTGTTGAAGGCCTATGGTCTGCATTGCGCATAAAGTAAAATCTTTAGGTATAAAATTATGTGAAATTATAAAATATGGTTAAATTCCATTTTGCTATAAAAATAATTTTTATAAAGAAATTGAACAGAAATCATTGAATGAATATTGAACATTAAAAATATTGAAAAAATATTTTACTTTTACTTTGAGCAATTCCAGAATTAATGCATCATAAATGTGGGCTACAAAGGATTTCTCACAAAGCTATCATAATAATTCGAAATATTCAAAATATTCGAAAATAAAAAAGCTATATTGACAGTTTTATAAAAAAAAATTTATGAGCAAACAACATGGATACAAGGATAGATTTTTCAAGGATAGAGAATCATTGTTCAATAAAATAACACAAATTCCAAATTCCAATTTCAACATAAATTTCTTTGTAATTCTATTAGTAGTAACATTAGTGATAATAATAGTAAAATATATATAAATTTATTATACATATTATTAATAAGTTATATATATAATTCATATATAATTTATTGTATATAAATTTTCTATTCATGGATATTTTTGGATCTTCAACAATTGGTTCGAATTTTTTTTTGTTTTTTATGAAAAACTTTTTAAAAAATTAAAAATCTATAATTAATGTTTCAAATATTTTTAAATATAAATGCTAAAATTTATATTTAAAATTTTATAAATTTATATATTTATATTTATAATTAATATTTAATAATTAAAAAATTAGAAATTTTTAAAGGTTCATGAATGATGAAAGGCTTGTTCGGATTGATTGTTCATCGATGAACAAAAAATTTCATAAACATTTGGATAAAAAAACATAAAATGAAATCAATTTCTTAACAGCATCGATCAGCGTTCTAGTATTCAATACCTTGAAATTTTAATTATATATTTTGCTAATGCTTTTTCACAATCTTTTCCCATATTCTTTCCCACAAAAATATTTTCGATCGAATTTGTAGGAATTTTACGGTAAAGAAATTTAGTTTTTTGTAAAAAATAAAATTTACAAAAAAAAAATGAAATTTGTTAATCTAATGCTTTATTGAGAAATATTACCAGATGATTGGAGCATAGCATTCTGCTCCCAATTCTCAAGAAAGATGATAAGACATATTGCGACAATTATCGAGGAATCAGCCTACTAGACGTCTCAACAAAATTTCTTGCTTCTTTCTACTCAACAGACTTATGGAAGTACGAAACAGCATGCGCCCTAATAAAGCTGGAGACTGGGGTGCGATTGTACTGACCAGATATTCACGTTAAGAAGGATATTGCAACATAGCTTAGATTTTTGAAACCCACTGTCATGCTTCATCGACTTTGTGGTTGTTTTTGGTTCGATTGATAGAGAGGCGCTTTGGAGGGTGATGGAATGCGATGGTGTTCCAGAGAAGATTATTCCACTCATAAAGGCATTTATGAGCTTACATCGGCTCGGGTCTGTGTATATGGGGAACTGAAAAGGCTTCTTCGAAAGAAGAACTGGTATCCGTCAAGGCTGCGTCCTTTCCTTTACAATATTCAACTGTGCGATAGACTGGGTAATGGACATCTCTTGTCGGCACTCAAGGGGCTTCCAAATCAGTCGTATCACAGATCTTGAAAAAAATGGTGATGCAGTGCTTTTTGCTGATAGTTATGAGGAAATGCAAATGATGCTAAATAACTTGTCAGAAACTACAGCAAGAATCAGGGTCAACGTATACAAAACGAAAACCTTTTCGTCTTATGTATAAAAAGCTGAAAAAATGCCTTTTTTTTATAAATTCAATGCAGGTCGGGGAAGTGTCCGATTTCCGATTTTAAATACCTTGGGACCACTCTAATACCAAATGGCCAGGTAAAAGACGATATTGTAGCCCGGATCATGGCAGCTAAAACTGCTTTCTTCCGGTTTACGAAATCTTTATGGAGCCATCATGAAATCACCATTAAAACGAAAATCCACATCTATATAGCCATGATTCGTTCGATCTTGCTATATGGCTCTGAGATATAGCCAATGAGAGTGGAAGATATTTAAAAGCTACCCACCTTTGACTACCCTTGTCCAAAGCATATTTTACGGATCCGACGAGCGGATAAAATATCACATGATTGCATCCATTTTCGTTAAAACACCACCTGTATTAATAATGTTATCACAAAGCGTCGCTTTCGGTGGTTAAGGTATGTTCTCTATCGTATATCACAAGAGTTGTCGCATAATTCGTTACCTATTAAACCATGATGGATGGCGTCAAAAGCGAAATGGGCCAATCAAGACTGGTACAGTCAGAAAAGATTTTGAATGTATAGGTGGACTGGCAATATATGGACTTAAACGATGGAAAAAGAATGGCTTATTGTCGACGGTGGCATCAGACCGCGCCGTTTGGAAACGTCTTACCCTTTTAGTCGTTGGAGCCAGCTTAACCACTAATGGTGAGAGCTATTAAAAGGAGAAGAAGGATAAGGAAAGAAGAAGTTTATCGAGTTATTAATTAATCAGTTAACTTAGAATCATATTTTCGAATTGTTGAAGCTAAATAAGCAAAAAAAAAACATAAAAAATGTTCTATCAAAAGCAAACAAACATGGCTGAAACATTTTTTTCTGAAATTATTCGACTTTTTTTATTTGTATTTTATTTCATCAGTGATTTACTTAAAGAAAAAAATAGCTGAAAAACATTTCTATCATTTTCAAAACAATCATTTTTTATGAAATAAAGATTTTTCATAAAATCTTTTTTCATTTGCAAACCAAATTTGGCTGCATTTTGACTGCGCAATTCCTTAAGTTTTACTAAGAAGCAAAAAAAATATCACTGCAAATATCATTAAACAAACTAGCAAGACGACATAAAAAATAAAAATTAAATTGGCATATAAAAATTGAAATTGACTTTTAATAGCTAAGAAAAATCGGCAAACAGCTTTTATTTTCCTCGTAAATTTTACATAAAACTTAACAATAATTAAAAAAAATCATAGAAAAATTATTTTAAACGTAAAACGATGAGAATTTATCTTCAAAAATTTTAATTAAAATAGATAAAATAAGAAAAAAAGAAATTTTTCTAAAATCGTCTAATAAAAACTTTTATTCGAAAAAAATTCATTCGGTACGTTATAATAAAAAAATATTATTTAAAATCATAAAATAATTATTTAAAAAAGATGAAAATAAAAATTCGAAAAATTAAAAACGAAATTAAGAAAAATGAACAATATTGAATAAATAATCAACGATTTTATATTTATTAGATATGAAACCGAAATTCGATGTCTATTATTGTAGTTATTGTTCGTTAAATGAAATTGAATGATAACAATTGCACAAATGAAAACAATATGAAACCTATATTTTCAAATGAATTCAAATAATTGAAAGTAAAAAATTAAATGTTATTTAAAAATTCAAAAAAAATATTGTTATTAAAAAAATTTTTATATATTTCTACCAAAAATCCACGTACAAAACTTTATAAAAAGAATCATCAGATAGTGACATTTTCAACAATCGGATCAAATGGTTTCAACTACAATGCATCGACTCGCAATATTTTTAATCGCATTACTTCTTTTAACCAGTAAGTTATTCTTTTTTTTTTGTTACATTACTTTAATAAAATACCATTTATATTATTTGAAAGAAAATGAAAAAACGAATCATTTCTTTCCTATACTTTTTTCCTATATTTTTAAAAATTGCCTATATTTGCCCATATTTTAGCATAAGTAAGTTTAAAATATTCCCAAAAAAAATATGGGGAGGTGAAAAACGCATGTTCACCTCATCTCTATAATTTTTTCCTTCATAAAGGCTAAAAAATTTCAGGACTTGGTAAGAGCGCGATTGGCCAAAGTAACGGTAACTCTTAATTTCATTTCATTTAAATAAATTTTACTAGGCGATATTTTAATATTTTAAAGAATGAGGCATTAATGTTTCTTTCTAATATATTCCTTCTAATATATTCTTTTGCTCTTGGATAATAAATTTGAAAAAAAATAACAAATCAAAAATATTTAACAATTTAAAATAATGCGCATATGCTAAATTTAACTGATTTTTGTAAAGAAAAATTTGCGTAAATTTGCGTAAAAAATTTTTTTACTTTATAAGAATAATATTATCATTTATCATTTGGCTAGATTCGACTTTCAACAATAAGAAAAAATTTGCAAAATTTGTAAATATGCAAAATTTTCTTTATCAGTTTCAATACCATAAGTATTATTATATTTGCGCATATTTTATCACCATTAATTCATCATAATGCCCAAATAAATTATACAAAATAGAAATGGGATTTTTGGACAAACTAAATTTGATTGATTGTCAAGTCTTTTATTTCTATCTGATTTTATCAAAGCAATCTTAATAACCTTTAAAAAATTTTAAATTTTTTAATATAATAAAAATGATTTTCAGAAAAAGAAGATGGAAAATCGAAGAGAGGTTATTCGCTTTGTATGATTTTTTTTTGCTATTTTTTAACAATAGATTTTCGTGCGAAGATTTTTTCATATTGAAGGAATTTTCGGATTCAAGCAAATAGATACACTGACAGGTGTAAGAACAGTTAAGAGTTGAGTTTTCTGCTGATGCATCATTCTTCATCTGGCAGAAAAACAGAGTAGAATAGCTCAGTGGGTTGTTTTCCTTGCGTAAAAAAAATTCTTTCCATATGCTTCTATATTTTCATTGATTTCTCTCAACAAAAGCTTAAAATTTCTTATAATAATTATTTTTCATTTGCCTCATTAGAGGACAACATTTATCGTCGATAAATCCCAAAATTTTACAGACTTATTTTGCAATAATGAATGAGGTTATTGCCAATGAGGGTGGAAGATGTTAAGAAATTACTACCTTTAAGCATTTTAGGCATATTTAAGGCATATTTTGTCCGTCAAACGGATAAATTAGCACATTCATTTACTTTCATTCAAATACCACCTGTAGTAATGTTATCACAGAGTGTTGCCTTCGCTGGTTAAAGTACGTTCTTCATCAGAAATTGACGAATATCTCGTTACTTGCTAAACCCTGCGATAGATGGTGTCGAAAGCGAGGAAGAGACTTGGACTGACACAGGAAAGATTTTGGCATATAGGGGGCCAGCAATATATGGACTTAGACGATGAAAAAAGGACTGGCTTCTATTATTGTTGACGATGGCATCAGACCGCGCCGCTTTGAAGAGTTTTAGCTTTATAGCCGCTGGAGCCAGCCCAACCAGTAATGTTGAAAGGTGTTTAAAGAAGAAGAAGAAGAGGTCTAATTACTCTCATAATTTTCGTCTTTGACCACTTTTATTGCAAAAATTTCTTCGTAAAGCTTAGTAAAAGTTCGCTAAAAATACCTTTGTTCATCCCTCATAATGTAATATTATTCATAGAGAATTCCTTTCTTTCAGTGGTTAATAATTAACCGATTTAGCTATTTCATATTTCCACGTTTGGACAATAAAGTATTTAAGTTTCAATCGAATCAATACTAATGTCTCAATTTTAACAAATGTTTTAGCAAATTCCACCTAAATTTTTTTCTGGCGTTCACAAAAAGCATTCCTTAATAATGGTGAATTTTAAACGAACATGGATTAGGTAGCGGTTTTTCATCAGGCGTTTTCCTTGTCATTTGACTCTATTTTTATTGTTTTTTTGCTTAAAGCTGCATATAAAGCTGTTTACATTAAAAATATATAAAAATTCGGTTAATTAAATTCTTAAATTAATTATTATTAATTATTATTAAATTAGGTCACAATTTTCTACATGAACCCGTGATTTTTTAATTAAATTCCTCATTACGTTGGAGAAATCATATAAAATATTCTTCTTTATGTCAGAGGGACCATAAAAGATATTAAGAAATGTTTTAAATGATATTTTTCAAGAAGACAGTGAAGAAAATGAACAAGAAAAAGAAGAAGAAAAAGAAGAAGATAAAGAAAATGAAGAAGAAGAAGAAGAAGAAGAAGAGAAAGATGAAGAAGAAAAAGAGGAAGAAAAGGAAGAGGAAGATGAAGAAGAGGAAGGAGAGGAAGATGAAGAAGAGGAAGAGGAAGAAGAGGAAGAGGAATATTATGAGTATTATGAAGGTTAATCGGAAAACCTTTTTTTATTGCATTTTTTTTAGAGTTTTAAATTTTCATTAAGAAGTTTTTGTATTAAAAAAAAATGAAAACTCATCGTTTGGGTAGACATATTGGCCGAATAATAGCCATAGTCATGCCAGGCTTCGAACTAGGAAATCGAACCACTAAATGCAACCACATCACTTAACCATTCCATCACATTTTCTTCTTTAATATATATTTTTATACATTCTTATATTTCTCATGTTCCTACTTATTATCAAATAACTTAAAGGAAAAATTAGCTCTAAATTAGATTTCGGCTATATTCCTTGGAGATAAATTTTTCTATAAGCTTTCATTTATTTCCAGCGATTTTTCATAATACTAGCATTTCATAATACTAACGTTTATAGGGAAATTGTAACATGAAATTTTATACTACGATAGATAGATAGTAAGAACGATTTCCCAGAGGAGTAAACCTGGACGAAAATCCAGTTGATGCTGGTGACTCACCTGTATTTATATCGCCAAGAGATTCCCTAGTATATTTGTCCAGTGCAAAAAGCCAGTTGAGCGAATTTAACCAGTAATGATGAGAATTTAAAAAAAAAAAAATAACGATTTAACGATTAACAATACGATAACAAATCCTTCAATTCTTTGAGCAACATGATAACCTAAAACCATACAGCAAAATTAGAGAACGACCGTAAAAATTTGTTTTTCCAAGATTAATAAACTAATATTAAGTTGGTTCTAAAAGAGAAAGAAATTTTCTTTCAACGTACAACGTTAGATCCTGTAAAAAAAAAAAAAAAACATAAAGGCATTTTTTATTCGGTCGCATATGTTTACAACAAAAACTATTTCTTTCATCAACTCTATTATATTAAGCAGCATTACTTATAATTATTTAACTGAGATCAAACTTTTTAATTCATCGCTTAAAAACTATTAAAGATTTCTAGATTTAATTCTACAACAAACTTCAAAATTTGTTTTTAATGCATCTATGAATATTCGCATCCATTTCTTTTCATATCAATCATTTTCGTTCTCCTCTTAATGAATTTTGAAAAATTATAAATAAATGAATTTTGCGATGAAATACCTTAGTTCATCATTTTAAAATGTGATAAGAGCTTTTAGTGATATTATTATCAGATGCCTCTTTCCTTTTAGTGACTAATAGCTTATTGTTTTGGACAAAAATTTTTTTCAAGCACTGACAGCAATATTTTATTATATTATATTTGATAATATATTGATTTCAATAAGATTTGCTTATTTTAGTTAAAAATATTTTGTTCAAAATTATCATCTTATTTTGACAAATTTAACTTCCATTTTTTTATGGCATCCAAAATATTTAATCTCTAAAAAGTGACGAATTTCAGAAAGTGATGGATATTACGAGGGTTATTTCGGTAATTTTTAAATATACTTATATTCTAAATTTTATGTTTATATTGCATATATTCTCTTTCAAAGTTTTTTTCCATAAATTCCTATATAAAACGATTTAAATTAAAGATAAATGATAAAATAAATGAAGATGAATGAAAAATCACAGTTCAATAGATTAATTTATTTTATTGTTTAATTCTTTACTAAGATAACTTTATTTTTTATTTAATTTATTTATTAAGATAAATTTTATATCCAGTTTTTTAATGAAATTCAGCTAATCCTATAATCTTTATATAGTATCAGAGGAATCTTAATTTAAATAATTATAAATTTCAGTGGATGAAGATGTTCGCGACCCGACAAGTTCGTTTTTCCTTTATTCCTTTTTTTTATATGAATTTTTGTTTTTAATAAAATGAAAAATCTGTCGGCTGAATATTTATTGAACCCATAAACTACACTACATCAGCGAAACAGAGGTCAAACCACTAATGCTTTAAGCGATTCGAAAAAGCCAACACACTCCACAATTTTTGACCATATTTTATTATAAACTTTCTTTGAATATAGTAACTTTATTAACTATATATTACATTTGAAATATATCATAATATATCAACTAAATACTAAATTTCAGAAACAATGAATGAAGGTAATCAATCATTTCTATCCAATTTTTGACGAAAATATTCTAAATATTCTAATTTTACGATGTTTTTAAGTGGTAATCGCGCTTCAGCAACATTTGCTTATCGCAACAAGAAATATTTTCTTCATTAATTTCTATATATCACAAGCATTATTCTATTTGATTAGCATTTTTGATTCGAAAAAAAATTTTTACATACAAAATTTTCCTTTTCTATTAAGGAAATGTGATTTAAATATTGAAGTATTTTTTAAAGAAATGAGTTAACATCAAAATTTACAGCCATCAATTTTTTGACACCTTTTTTTTTGTTCAATAAACAAAATTAGCGAAATTTTCACCTCTCTTTATCAATGGAGAATAATTTTTTCAAAATGATGAATTTCAGAAAATGGCGGTACCCATTTGCTTGAATATGGTAATTCTTGGTATATTCTTTCATTTTTACTTTACTTTATTACTTTAAAGCTCCAATTCAATTATTTAAATAGAATAGAAATGAGGTCCACAGTAAAGTTACATTTCGTTACACAGGGTTACACTCTTCTTAATCAAAATATCGGATTTTTATTGAGTTTTGATAATCATTGCAACACATAATCATAGCAGAATATTTTAAAAAATACTTATTTTTTATAAAATAATGTTAATTTTCAGAGGAAGATAGTACCAATGGGACTTATGGTTATTCGCTTTTTTCCTTTTGCATTTTTTTTAATAATATTTATTTTCCTAGGAATAATTTCTCATTTTTCGGTAAACACGCCGATAAAATCTAATAAATTAATTACATTTTGGGAGATCTCATATTTCTTTTATATTTCTCATCAATAATAAACAATATAAAAAAAATTTATCTTTAAGTATCTAATTAAATTTAATTAAATCTTTATATATTAAATTTTAGGTGGACAATCCGGCGGTAATTCTTTCTATATACATTTGCTTTCAATGTTGAAAATTTTATATATTTTGAAATGATATTTGCCATTTGCAGCAACTTCGATTCCATAAGAATTTTTACAATCAAGAATTTTTACAAAAATACATTTTTTTCATCTCGACTTTTTTTTTGCTTAAGTAGTAAATTCCTGAATTTAATCATAGAAATTTTATAGATTTTGTTGATCTGTGAATAATAGGTTCCATTTTTATTCATATTTTTCTTTTTCGATCACTTCTACCAGATTTCATAAAGCACTAAATTTTATAATGAAATGGCGTTTTTGAACTTTGAAAATTTTTGTGGCATTATTCATAGAAAATTCTTTCTTTAAATAGTTGATTTTTTTTATTTTCTTTTTTTTTAACCAATAGCTAATCGGTACTTTTTTTGTAAAAATGGGACAAATTACTCGCAAATTACTTGTAAAATAGCAGAATTTGCCTATTTCTATAAAAATTATTCCAATATGATAATTTTGACAAACAAACTATGTAATTCACCTTCATTATTCTTATTCCTATTTCTAAATAATGGTGAATTTCAGATAATGGCGGACTCACTTTGGTTGAATATGGTAAGTCTTGTCATATTCTTTCATTTTTACTTTTCTTTATTCTTTTAAAGCTCCAATTCAGTTATTTAAATAGAAATGAGGTCCACAGTCAGCTAAGTTAGATTTCGTTACACTCTCCTTAATCAAAATATCGGATTTTTATCAAATTTTGATTATCATTGCAATATATAGCAGAATATTTTAAAAAATACTTATAATTATTTTTTTATAAAATAATGATAATTTTCAGAGGAAGATAGTACCAATGGGACTTATGGTTATTCGCTTTTTTCCTTTTGCATTTTTTTTAATAATATTTATTCTCCTAGGAATAATTTCTCATTTTTCGGTAAACACGCTGATAAAATCTAATGAATTCATTATATTTTAGGAAATTTCATATTTCTTTTATATTTCTCATCAATAATAAACAATATAAAGAAAAATTTATCTTTAAGTATTTATTATTCTTTAAGTATTTAAGTATTAATTTAATTGTTCTAAATTTAATTAATCTTTAAATTTAATTAATCTTTTAGGTGGACAAACCGGCGGTATTTCTTTCTATATACATTTGCTTCCAATAATTTTTATGAATAAAAACTTGAAAATTTTATATATTTTGAAATGATATTTGCCATTTGGCCACATTTGCAGCAACTTCGATTCCATGAGAATTTTTACAATCATTTTTTTCATCTCGACTTTTTTTTTTAAGTAGTAAATTCCTGAATTTAATCACAGAAATTTTATAGATGTTGTTGAACTGTGAATAATAGGTTCCATTTTTTCTCATATTTTTCTTTTTCGATCAAATTTCATAAAATACTGAATTTTACAATGAAATGGCGGAATTTGCCTGTTTCTATATTTTTCACCTTTGAAAATTTTTTTGGTATTATTCATAGATGATTTTGACAAACAAACTTAATAATTCATCCTCATATTTCTATTATTCTTATTCCTATTTCTAAATATTTTTGAATTTCAGGTAGTGGCGGAGCCACTTTGCATGTATATGGTTAATCTTTTTATATTCTTTCATTTTTACCTAAACTTTTTCATATATCTTACATAAATATAAAAGAAGTTCTTAGTTCAATTAGATTTTGTTAAATTATTTTACTTTCTTTCCTTTCTTCCTTTTTTCTTCCTTTATCCTGCACCTTCCTTCATCCTTTATCCTATATCTTCTTTTGTCCTATAACCCGATTTTTTAGTGCATTTTTCTACCATAATAATCTCTGTAGAAGGAACATTAAAAAATTTTTAAATATTTCCATAATAAATTCATATGAATTTCATATGAATTTATTATATTTTGATTATATAAATTCTAATAAATGATGTTTAATAATTTCGATTAAAAGTTAGCTATTTCTATTTATAAATAATGGTAAATTTCAGAATAACTAAACTTCATTTTTATTTCAATGAATGTGATATGATAAAGCAGTTTTTTCAT